TCAGAAGAACATTTCCTGTCATTAAAGGGATGTGGAGAGAAACTGGCACAGCTTTCTCGGCTTTGAAGCTCCCTAGCCCCTCCTGGCCCTTTAATTGTGCTGGAAACAGTCCAATTCCCAGGGCTCCCACCCCTTCAGGAGAAGGGCCCAAAGCAGAATTCCCCGACTCCCTGGCCCTTGGGCGCCATGACCTCTCCAGCTCTCTGTTTCAGACCATTTCACTGCCAGGACATCCAAGGCTCCCACACAAAGAGCTTCAAAGTCAGAGGCTCAGGGTCAAGTTCAACAAGCAAATCCAGAGCTTAGGATTCTAAAGCACTGCATTTGAGATTGTTTTTTAAGCTGCCTTCTCACAGTGCAGTTTAAAGCCTATAATACCTGAAGGTGAATCACATCAGATTTCTGCAGGTATCATATCTATCTTGGCTAAGACAGCAAGGGAACGTGCAAAGTTTCCATTCCTCTCTAGATTTTCTTTCACTTTTCCAGGTAAGGAGGACACGTGTTTAATCCTAGTTGGCCTCCAGGAACACAGGTTCTGCATCTTCAGAGTTAAACTGCAGATTCAAAATATTGAGGGGTGGGGGATGTCATGTTGTTGCTGACATGTACTGTATAGAGAGGCCTACAATGATTGCAACTACATGAAACATGTGCAGACATTTTGTCTTTACTTCCTAAATACAATGTCACAACTACTTACATTGCATTAGCTATTAGAAGTAATTTTTAAATGAATTAAAGTAGATAAAAGGATAGGTGTACATTATATGCAAATGCTATACCACTTTATATAGGCAACTTGAGCATTTTCAGATCTTGGCATCCCAAAATGTCCTGGAACCAATTCTTCCAAGGAACAAATGTACTTTTCTGTGTATATATTTGTGCGCGCGTGTGTGTGTACACATATACGTGGTTGTGTGCACATGTGTATATTATGTGGAGGTCAAAGGTGTCTTCCTCAATTGCTCTCCACCTTATTTTTCTAAACAGGGTCTTTCCAGGAGACCTGGAGCTTGCCAATTCATCTAGACAGGCTAGCCAACAAGGGATCCTCCTGTCTCAGCCTCCCCAGTGCTAGGATTATAGTGCCACCACATGGGTGCTGGGGATCCACGCTTAGATCCTCATGTTAAATGCTTGTATGGCAAGCATTTTGCTGACTGGGCCATCTCCCCAGCCCACTCCTTTTTTCTACTTTGAGATTAAAAAAAATATTTTATTTGCTATTTTAATTTTATGTATATGAGTATATTGCTTGCATGTATATAAGTGTACCTGTGTCGTGCAATGCCCGCAGAGGTCAGAAGAGGGCATTGGATTCCCCTGGAACTGGAGTTACAGACAGCTGTTGACCACCAGGTGGGTGCTGGGAATTGAACCCAGGTCTTCTGCAAGAGCATCCAGTGCTCTTAACTGCTGAGCCATTATCTCCCCAGCCCTGAGATTTCATTTTTTAAAGTAGACACGATTCTCAACTTTGGCAGAAATTATGGAGAGCTTTGGAAACCACAATGCCGAAGCTACACTCTGTGGGGCCTGTATGTCCCTATATCCATGTATGTTGCATATACATGATTCCAAGTACAGCTAAGGGTAAGAACCACTGCTTTAGGCCACATTTCAATAGAGAAGAAGCTGAACCCTCAGGCATGGAGAAAGGGGATGGCGGAAGGTGCACTGTAGGTTATACATCTGCCCTGTTCTCCTAATTTTCCCCCTTCTCAGACCTTCTCTAGCCATAGCTCCCAGGAGTCTCCACCAAATTTTGAATTTTTCTTCCTGGCTTGACATTTCACAGTTCCTTTCCACTTTCACTGTCCTAAAGCCGTGCGAGGAAGCAGGTGATCAGACTCAGAAACCAAAGTCTACAAGGGAAGAAAGATTTTACCCTCCCAACCCTCTCATCTAAAATGAAGTCTGAATAACTCAACCAGGTCTGTTTGGATCCAAGTATGATGCAACTTCAGGAAGCTTTGACTTGATGTTCCAAGTGCAATCCACAGATAGTAGGTCAGTCACATTTGGCCCTAGACCCACTCACCAGCTGGGAGAGCAATAGGAACCAGGATCCTTGACTGCATGGGGTGAGGTCAGCCAATGGGCTCATGTACAGTGATACAGGATGCTCTTAGGAGAATCATAAATATGTAAACACTCGAGGATGAGAACCTTTTCAAGGCACCCTGTAGGACTTGGCACCACATCCTGGACACTTGTAAGGGTCTTACTGCTTATACAACGCCAAAGAGATTTGCGTGTAAGACAGCAACTTTACCAACACTTTTATAGTAATTCTCATAAAAGCTCATCCCTCTGGGAAGAGATGTGAACATACCCCCACACCCCTTAGTTTTTGCTTGAGAAAGCAATGGTTATATAGCAGAGAGTTTGGAAAGGACTGGAAGAAAAGTTTGGAAGTTTTTCTCTATTAGACATAAGGCGATGTTTCAACCATCCTTAAGTTCCCACAAGACAATGGAAAATTAGCTCAGAGCCTAAAAATACAGGCTACTTTTCAGAGGATGCCCAGTGGATAAAATGCAGGCTGCAGACATGGGAAAACATTCTTATCCTACAGGGACTAAGGTTTACAAATGACAGAAAACATTGAGAATCTCAAGACAGTAATGAGTTGTTCTACCTATGTGGGAAAAGAGAGTTCAAAATTGGGAATTTTGAAACATGACAGTATTTAAATTAAAAATTGTCACACACAAGAATTTTCTTTGATAAATTTTATATAAGTTCTGAGAGTTCAGATAAACCTAGTTTTTGCATTTATCATTTAAACCACTGTGCCAGATTATTCTGTAATTAATCAACTTAAAAATTGTGTGTAGTGGGGTGCTAGAGATCCAACCCAGGGCCTTGAACATGCTAGGTAAGTGGTCTAGCACTGAGCTGTATCCCCAATCCCTTACAAAATTTTCTAAAGCCCTCAGCCTATGTCAAGCAAGAGTAACCTGGTTCCAGTTAAGTATATACTGTTCTATCAGCGAGGGAGTTCAGCGTTCTTTCCTCATTTTGCACAGATCAGTGTTTGCATTTATTGAGTACACAAAGCTCAACTCATCTGCCTCTAAAAAATACAGAATATTCTACATGTCTGGGGGAAAGGAAATCCCCAAATTCCTCCCTGAAAATGTTAGTAGCATGATACCAGTGAGACTTGAAATTTCTCCTGTGAGTCAGAGTAGAAGATGATTTGGATTTGCCTGTGCAGTTCAGGTAATTCTCAAGTTTATCCACTTATCACTGACTCACTGCAGAATGATGAGGTACCATATATGTTTCCAAAACACAAGCACTCTAAACTAGAATTACGTTTCCTTCAGTTGGCAGGAAGCCTCTAACTAATCCTGGTAGAGGGTGAGAAGATTTTCCACTCCCAGGAGAGAAAGATAAACTAAGATTTTTATCAGGTCAGGGGCCAAGTTAGAAACCATTAACACAAAAAGCTGCACATGAAACCATGGATGTTTGGACAGTTGCCGGCTACCTGTTGTTTGAACAAAGTAACAGGCAACCTGGACCCTCAGCTCCGGACAAACACCTGCTTCATTTTCACAATTGGGGAGCTGAAGGGACCTTAGAAGTATTTCCAGAGAGGAGGCACCCAAGGCAATTTGCCTGGGGTGGAGGTGGGAGTCACACACTGCCATTTCACCAGGAGAGGGACTGTGGCTTCCAGTGTTTGAGACAGCCATAAGGATGACTTAAGCTTTAAACTCACAAAACTGACTCGATTCTGGTAGAACATAAGACCACCTGGTTAGACATGGTGGGAAAGGCTCTGGAGAGAGGTCACAAAAAGAAATCCATGGTTGCCAATTGATCCCCTCCCCCCAATCCTGATCTCAGTTGTCAAGAGGCTGCCTCTACAGGTGAATGTGGGCTAGCTGTCATCTGTCACCAATGACCCAGATGAGAGAATGCAAAGAGGATGGCTGTTAGTTTAGGGATCTAAAAGCCTGTCCCCACAGGTCCCCCTATCTCATCCAGAAAGAAGAAACTGGTTCCCTTATCTCATCCAGAAAGAAGAGGCTGAGATTCCTGGAGAATCTGAGAGGTCTCTTTTACTACTGTCCCGAGGGAAAATAAATACAGAAGCAGAAGTTTCCTCAGACAGGTTTGGCCTAGACAAACCCAGGGGGGAAAAGTGAGCACAAGAGGTTTTACCTAGTGGAAGGCAAGTGGGAGCTCACGGAGGGCTGTGCTCCAGAGGCAGCTCCCTGACTCCCTTTTTCAGGCTTCGGTACTCCAGCCCGAGGGGTCCAAAAACCCTTGCAAGCTGGCTATCGGGCACATCCTGGCCGGCCCGCCCACTAGGGTTTGGCCAAGATCCCTGGCCAGAGCCAAATCGCAGCTCGCTCCACCTGCTGGGCACATCATCCGGTCCCCAACCTATGCCCCACTCAGTCGGAGATGCAAGGGTAGGCAAAGGGCTCGGGGGGAGAACCGACTAACCAAGCTGTGGGGCACTGGGGGGAGCCGGGGGAAGCCGACCTAGCCGGGAACAGATCAACGCATCACCCCACCATCCCAGGAGCTTTCTCTAGCCCGGGACAGGGCTCTTTCTGGAGTTCTGCAAGAAATCCCTAAGGGCGGTGGTGCCGGGTCAAGAGGGCCCCAAAACTTGTTGCTTGGCCCATAGCCGCACCTCACAGTTTGGATCTTACTTGGGGCCCCCTCGACTGTAGGCATCTTTCCCCTAAGGCCAAGTGAGGGCTGAGGGATAATTCCGGGCACACCCTCTGGCCCCCTACAGGTGAGAAAGCGACTCCACGACCCCCAGGCTGCCCTCCGCCCCAGGCGCCCAGAAGGATCAAAGGGCCCGGGCCGGGGTCGCCTCCTAGGAGCTCACTGAGCAGTCGGTGGCGCCTCTGACGCCCGCTCTTGGGCTGAAGTTCCCGAGGCGGGGGCAGTCGGTTCTGCTCACCTGAACAGGCCCAAGACCTGTTTCCCTGATCAAGTGGGTGCCCCTGCGCCCTCACCTTTGTACCGCTCCATCGGGGCCACGGCGTGCGCTCCGGCTACTCCGATCCTCTCCGCTCTTTGCGCGCTGGGTTGGGTGTCCCGGCTGCGCGTTGGCCCCTCCCCGTGAGGTCACGCTCACCGCCGGACCTCGGGGTGCTGCCGCCGCGCCGCGAGCCCTTCGATCGGGTCCCCACCCGGGCGCGCTTCCCTCGCCCCGGCGGGGGAACTCCGCAGCCCGCCCGGACGGTCAGCGATCCAGTCCGCGCGCACCGGGTACTGGGCCTGCGGCCCCGGCCGCGGAGCACTTCCTCCAAATCGGCCCGACGGCTAGGACCGGAGAGACGGAGGCTGGGCTGTCCCCAACGCCGCGGGGAGGCTCTGCGAAGTAGCGAGCTCGGGTGGCTGTGCAAGATCTGTTCTCCCAACTGCAGCGACTGCGAACCCAATGCCGGGAGGAGGAGACTGAGGGCCTGAGACCGGCCTAGAGCGCCTCCTGCCTGATCCCAGAGCCAGCGCGCCCTGGCCCTTGGCCCTCCTGGAGGCACCACTTTACGGGCTGGAGCCAAGCTCCCACCTGGCGATAATTTCCGCTCTTCGTGGTCAGTCACCTGGCAGGGCACTTGAGGATCATGCACGGTTTAGGGTAAAGGAAAATATATACACGAGGCTTGGTCCCTGCCTCCCGGTGGGCGTCTGTGCCAAAGGATTTCTAGGAAGTACTAGACCTTGAGGCATCCTGGAAAGGTGGAACCTGTCCTGAGGTAGATGTCAGATTCTCTGTCCTGCACTACCCCGTAGGACACACATCCTTTTTGTTTTCTTGTCGTCTCTCTAGTCCTTCTGCACTCCCAAGTCCTCCAAAAAGATCCATGCTTTCCTTTAAACTTTAGGTTTTCACTTATAAAAACATCCTTTTTGCTGGATGCCTGGTTTCTTGACAAATTCCCCAAATTCCTGGAAAAAACACTTAGGGAAAGATTTGTTGTTTTCTGAAAGACTTTTTAACGCTGCCTTGGAGCATCAGGTTTAGCTCTGCTGTTTGGAGACTTTCCACCCCAGGAGTCTGCAGAAATTTACTAGTCACAGCTGTGGCTACCAAAGATGCAGCCATCCAGGCCAAGCCAGCCAGGAGCCTTGCTCAGGGCTGCAAAGGCTCAGCCTTTCAGCTTGCCCACTCACCCTGTGATAATAGGGATCATTATCCGTTCTCTTCTGTAGTTGAAGAAACAGGTTTTAAGAGGGAAAAGACTGGCCCAAAATAGCACAGCTTGAAAAGATTAGTATAGGTAACACACCAGGGGCAGCCAGCTTCCAAATTATATATATTCCCAGGATTGGTATGTGCAGGTGCATATATGTGTGTGTCTGTGGAAGTCAGAGGATGACCCTGGCATTGTTCCTTGGCCACTGTTTATATTTATTTATTTTTTAAGGCAAGGTCTCTCACTGGCCTGGAACTCACCGAGTAGGTTAGCCTAGCTGACCAGTGAGTCTGTCTTCACCTCCCCAGCACTGAGATTACAAGGGTACCACTACTGGCTTTTTTATGTGGATTCTGGGAATCAAACTCAAGTCCTTCTACTTACAAAACACTTTACCCACTAAGCTGTCCTTACAGCCACCAAATGTTTATTTACACAGTCTCATGGTGCTCAGAGTAAGTGCTGGGCTCTTTGTTACCATCTTAAGGAGTGTACAGATGAATGAAGAATGACCACCTAACCAAGTGGGTCCTCTGATAAGAGGGAAGCACAGGGGGTTCCAGGAAACTAGCCTAGAACAGCCTGGCAAGTCTGCAAGGAGACCATGGCTGAGCTGAAGGAAAGTTAGTAGAGATGGAGTGAATGCAGCTTTTGAGGCAGAAGAGACTCAGCAGGCACACAGACAGGGAGGTGAGCCATTCCAAGGGGTGGGGGAGGCTGGAGAGGCAGGTAAGGGCTGCTGAGCTAGATGCCCAGGGGAGTGGGCAGCACTGGAGGGTGGGTGATCTGAGACCCCTTCCAGGCCCAGGTAAGAAGTCGTGGTGGTAGAACCCTGGGTGAGGACAAGAGGTCTGATGACAGAAACATTCAAAAAGTTGATGCACAGGTACACGGAGGGGAGAGCAGTGCTGAGGTTGACTCTGCCCTTTGCAGCACTTGGTGAGTAGGTGAACAGTGTCACTGGTTCATAACTGTTCCATGCCAGGCGTCTTCAAGTATTGCAGAGAGGATATGAAGGTCCGGCTCTTATAGGAAGGCTATTGGGCTGAGGTGGAGGAAAACACACAGGCAAAACAATGAGAATCCTTGAGTGAGAGATGTGGCAGCAGATTGGGTAGAGTGTAGGGCCAAAAGTGAAGGGCCACGATGCCTAGGGGGAATCACAGCCCTGGGGCTGAGTCCTTATGCTCATGCATGTGTATCAGCCACTCTTCTTGGTAGGCCTGGCTCATGAGGATTTAAAAAATAGAGACAGTGGAGTTTGCGGCACTTGGGAGAGAGATGGCTGGTAAAGCACTTAGCGCACAAGCATGAGGACCTGAGTTTGAATCGCCAGCACCGTTAAAAACCAAAACCAAAACCAAAAAAACCCAGGCACAGCATTCACCTGTAATCCAAGGCTAGAAAAGCAGAGAAAAAATTCTTGGAGAGTGCTGAATTGATGAGTTTCAGATTCAGTCAGAGACCCTGTCTCAAAAAATTAGATGGAGAGATGACTCAGCAGTTAAGCGCACTGGCTGCTCTTCAAGAAGACCCAGGTTTGATTCTCAGCACCCAGATGGTGGCTAGCAACAGTCTGTAACTCCGGTTCCAGGGGATCCGATGCCCTCTTTTGGCCTCTGCAGGTTTTTCACAATACGGGTGCACTTACATACATGCAGGCAATATGCTCATATTCATAAAATAAAAATAAATAAATTAAAAACATTTTTTAAAGATGGTGTGCTGGACAGCTTTAGTTACCACCTTGACACATCTGGGTAGAGGAGACCTCAACTGGGGAATTGCCTCCATTGGACTGGCCTGTGGGACATTTTCTTTATTGTTGAGTGATGTGGGAAGGGTTAGACCACTGTGGGTGGTGCCACCCCTGGGTAGGTGGTCCTATAGTGTATAAGAAAGCAGGTTGGGCACAGGGAGGGGAGTAAGCCAGAAGCCAGTAAGCAGGAGTCCTCTGTGGTCTCAGCCCCTGCCTCCAGGTTCCTGCCCTAAGTTCCTACCTTGGGCTCCCTCCATGATGAACTGTGCCGTAAGTCAAATAAACCCTTTCCTCCCCACGTTGGTTTTGGTCATTGTTTTTATTATTATTATTATTATTTTATGTGTATGAGTGTTATGCTTGCATGTAAGTGTAAGTCAAATAAACCCTTTCCTCCCCACGTTGGTTTTGGTCAGTGTTTTTATTATTATTATTATTATTATTATTTTATGTGTATGAGTGTTATGCTTGCATGTAAGTGCACCTGTGTTGTGCAATGCCCTTGGAGGACAGAAGAGGATGTTGGAGCCCCTGGAACTGGAGTTACAGACAGTTGTTAGCTGCATGTGGGTGCTGGGATTCGAACCTGGGTCTTCTGCAAGAACAGTCAGTGTTCTTAACCACTGAGCCATCTCTCCAGCCCCTTGGTCAGCATTTTTTATCACAGATCAAACAAGAACAGATGGGAGAGAGATTGAGGACAACACCTGAAGCCAACCTCTGGCCTCCACATGCACATACACATTTATACACACACAAACTTCTATACATATGCACACGTACACACACACACACACACACACACACACACACACACACAGAGTTTGTAGCAAGAATGGTGACGTCCCAGGCCACCAGAGGGCAGGAAATGCTGTTCAGTGGGCCTCTTGCACACCGGGCCTGGAACACAGGACAGGTGTTCCTGACATCTGCTGTTCTCCTCTCTGCCTGCCTCCCTCCCTCCCTCTCCTCCTCTTGCAAAATGCTCACCACCAAGGCACATACCCTCTGTTCTGTGGGGGTTTGAGACCATTCTCAGTAGAGCCCCGGGTTTCCTTTGAAATGCTCATGGAGACTGTGCAGCTCATCATTAGGAAAGAAGCCTCAAGTTTCTGGTTGCTGGTCTCTCTTGGCCAGACTCCTCCACAAGGGAGTGAGGGAGGGATGGTGCTGACTGGAATCCCTTGGATTAAAAGGTCTCCATTTTACAAATGAAAACAAAGTGAGGAGACTTACCCAGAGTCTTTCAGAGCAGAGACTCAAAACAAAATAATCTCCAGGTTTCCTGATTGCAAATCCTGTTCTTTATCAGCCCTTACTTAGTTCAGGCTTTCTATGGCTCTCAGGCTCTTAACTGGACAGGGCTGTCCACCGATAAATCCTCCAATGCTTTCTCTTTCTGCCCTTCAAGAAAACACAGTGCCTTTCTGATGCCAGGCAGGCGCCCCGGCCCCCAACCCCCGGCCTGCTTCTTGTTCCTTGACCCTGAAATTCACCACCCTGTCCCTGAGCAAAACTGAAATGACAGTACTTAGAATCATCAACTGAAATCTCAGTCTGTCCCTCCTTTTCCTCACCTAGGTGAAGTTTAACTCCTGTTCCTGGTGTCTTTGCAACTTCCACAAAGGGGTCACTCACATTCAAATTCAAAGTTATTGGGTTTCTGGCAGATACTTGAAACCAGGAACAGTGCTGAATCCTCTTTGCAAGCACTATAGAATATTTGACCAGCTATGGAGGGTAGCATATATAGCATGTGAACAGTGGTTTAAAAAAAAAAAAGATTATACATGGGCTGGAGAGATGGCTCAGCAGTTAAAAGCACTGGCTACTCTTGTAGAGAACTAGGTTTGGTTCCCAGCATCCACATGGAGTTAACAACCATTATCTCCAGTTCCAGGGGCTCCAACACCCCCTTTGGGCCTCTATGGGCACTGCATGCACAGGTGTGCTTACATATACACTCATACACATAAAATTAAATTTTAAGTTCCAGGACACCTGGGGCTACAGGGAGACCCTGTCTAAAAAAAGACAAAAAAAAAAAAGTTTTTAAAAAGATGCTGTGCTGGATAGCTTTAGTTGTCGACTTACTTGACACATCTGGGTAGAGGGAGCCTCAGTTGGGGAATTGCCTCCATTGGATTGGACCGTGGTCATGTCTGTGGGGCATCTTTTTGAGTACTGAGTGCTGTGGGAGAGCCCAGCCCACTGTGGGTGGTGCCACCCCTGGGCAGATGGGCCTGTGTTGCATAAGAAAGCAGGCTGAGCAGGGGCCAGGGGAGCAAGCCAGTAAGCAGCGTTCCTCCATGGCCTGTGCTCCAGCTCCTGCCTCCAGGTTCTTGCCCTAAGTTCCTACCTTGGACTCCCTGATGAACTGTGACCCAGGAGATATAAGACAAATAAACCCTTTCCTCCCCAAGTTGGTAGTTGTCAGAGTATTTTGTCACAGCAATGAAGAGACAAGCTAGAACAGATGCTACACAC